TGTAGTTTTGGTACCTGTCCTAGATCTCACTGTGTAGACCAGGCTGGCCTGAACTCACAGAGATCAGCCTGGCTCTGCCTCCCGAATGCTGAGATTAACGGCGTGCGCCACCACCGCCGGGCTAGACAACTCTTTTTGGCTGGGAGTTTTGTGTTAAGAGTTTTTGACTCAAAATTTTTCAATTATTTTTTTCAAGGACTTGAGCATTCATTGTGTCACAGGTTTTTTTTAGTTTGAATTAAGTATTGAAAGTTTGTTGTGTTAATCTCTACTAACTATGAATTCAGCCTGCATGGCTTTCTAAAATAGTGTGAATATAAATACAAACATAGGTGTTAACAAAACTGGTAGTTCTAGGTAACCAGTTTTTTATATTGATTATTTTTGTTCTGTAATTGTTTCAGTAATGTTAAGTTAAAGTTAATATCATTGCTCTACCTTAGTATTAAGCTGCAGGAATTACTTGGTTTTGAGAATGAAAATTCTTTAAGTGACAGCAATTACTTAAAATAATAGTTTCTTCTGAGATGTTAACTAAGTATTTCAGTAGTAAATGTCTATAAATCAACTTTTTTAAAAAAAGTCTAACTTCATTTTCTTTGCCTTTCTATAACAAAGATAAAACGATCTGTTAATCAGATTTAGTATGCTCTGGAAATTATGAACAGATCTATGTATATTGAGTGGTTTTTTTTGTTTTGTTTGTTTTCTTTTTAAAACAGATGAGCTTTGATCCAAACCTTCTCCACAACAATGGACACAATGGGTACCCCAATGGTACTTCAGCAGCACTGCGTGAAACTGGGGTTATTGAAAAACTGTTGACCTCTTATGGATTTATTCAGTGTTCAGAACGGCAAGCTAGACTTTTCTTCCACTGTTCACAATATAATGGCAACCTCCAGGACTTAAAAGTAGGAGGTAATCTGTCAGCTCACCTTTTAACTCCCTATTGCATGTCTACTAGTTCCTGAGAGTGCTTGTTGGTGTGTTATAAGCCAGAGGAGATGAACATTTTAGTTATGCGAACTACTGAAATGTATTTTCTAATTTTTATTGTGGTGTGGTGTCTTTTTGAGATTTGAAAGACTCAACTGGTAAAAAGATATATTTGAGTTTTTTTACTTTAGATACTTAGAAGTTTTAAAGGAATGAAGTTATGTGGTTTCTATTTCAAAACAAACAAACAAACAAACAACAAAAAAAAAAAACAGGAGGCTGGAATGGTGCCACAGCAGTTATGAAATCTTGCTGCTCTTACATAGGACCTGCATTCATTTTCTAGCACCCACACCTCAGCTCATATTCCAGTTCCAGGAGAAGATCCGATTGTCTCTTCTGGCCTCTGTGGGTACCAGACACAAAATGTTGTCTACATGAGTACATGCAGGCAGAACTCTTATACACATAAAAAAATCTTTGAGGATGAACTAAGAACAGTGGCTAACATGAATATTTGGTGTACCAAATGTTGGAGGTTCATGCTATTTAGCATTACTTTGTTTAATCCTCTCATTAATCTTGTGTGTTTGAAATTATTCTTACCTTATAGATAAGAAAACCAAGGTATAGAGAAGTTAAAATAAGTTTCTAAATATTGTAGTCTTGTGTTATCTCATTTGTAATGTGTGTAAATGCCATGGAAACTAGGATTGGATATCTGGCTATCTCAGTCTAAGGCAGTGGCTCTGAAATGCTCCTGTGTATCAGAGTCATTCAAAAGGCTGGCTAAAATACGTATTGCTGTACTTGATCCCCAGAGTTTGTCTTTGCCTAGGTCTGAAGTAAGGCTCAAGAATTTGCATGTCTCCTAAGCTCCCAGGTAATGTTGATGCTTCTGGCCTAGGAACCCACTTTGAGAACCAATGGTCTAAGGCAACTCAAATATTACTTTAAAGTAGAATTCAGAAGCAAGATGCCATTTTTCAAGCATTAGTCCAACAAACATAACACATTCTTTATTTTAGATGATGTTGAATTTGAAGTATCATCTGACCGACGGACTGGGAAACCTATTGCTATTAAATTGGTGAAGATAAAACCTGAAATACATCCTGAGGAACGAATTAATGGACAAGTTAGTGACTTTGATATTTTGTGTTTCCTTAGGGCCCCATATTTGCATATCTTTCACATTAGAAAAGGAAGATTGTCCCCTGCCTCCTCAGTTTGCACGAAGAGAGCTCTAGTGTATAAAGATAACTTTTAAAATTAGATCAGAAGCACTGGCATTTCTTGACCTAAAATAAAAAACATGGTCAAGACTCAATTTGGGTTTTATACATAACCCTAAGTCTTTACTTACAGTCAGTTTGTATACTGTAAGTTTGAAACTTGGCAGCATGACATCCTCTTGTGGATCATATTAAAATGCATCCCTGTGTATAGTATAGAGGATATTAGAACTCAGTTTATATTGCACAGTGCTGCTCCTGAAATGATTAGCAATGGAAATTTTTTTTTTTTTGACTGGTAGGTTGTGTGCGCTGTTCCTCACAACTTAGAGAGTAAATCTCCAGCTGCCCCGGGTCAGAGTCCAACAGGGAGTGTATGCTACGAACGTAATGGGGTAAACTTGTGTATTTTTCTTAAACCTTTGCCTGATCCATCATGTGATCTATAAGCGTACTTTAAAATTCAAAGTAGAAAACGTAAGCTAGTTGCTAAAATCATTTTTAAATTTGGTTTTAAGAGGCTTCAAGTGCAGCATAATAAAATTATTTTTAAAGAAAAAATCCATAGGACTTCCAAGTGTGTTAGCTTGCCCAAGTGTGACCTTAGTTAGAACATTAAGGTAAAATGCTCCTTTAAATCACTTTTTGGTGGGTTGTGGGGAGGGGAAATTTATTTCTGGTTCCTTTTAAGCACTAACTCCAGTTTTTTATTTGGAATGCCTTATGTAAAAATTGTCTTTTTGAAATGTAACTACAGTCTCTGGGCAAATGCTTCCACGTGTGTAAGCTTTTTGAACTTGGATTGCTGCTCAGCTGTGGACTCAGAGAAGTCATCAGCACCATGGAGGGGGAAGTGTGTTTATGAATAAGACAACTTACTTGTCATACTGCCTATAACATTAAGAACTTTGGCTTTAAACTGCCAGTAGAAAAAGTATTTAAGTAAATCACATTGTACAGTGAGCATGCATCCTGCCGAGGTAATAATAATAGCTTGTTAATTCACAGGAAGTGTTTTATCTGACTTACACATCTGAAGACGTGGAAGGGAACGTTCAGCTGGAAACTGGAGATAAAATTAACTTTGTAATTGATAACAATAAACAGTAAGTTCTCCAATGTTTTCCTAACCTAAATGATTCTTGTTTAGTTACATTAAAAAATTTGAAGTGAGAGCCCGGTGTGATGGTGTGCCTGCCCTCCTGGTAGTCCTAACACTTAGGAGGTAGAGGCAGGCAGGATCAGGAGTTGTAGACCAGGCTGAGCTATCTTAGATCCTGTTTCAAATAACTAAAGGGGAGGTCAGGAGGGCAAATTAAAATACTAAAATTTAAATATATAACTGGCAAATCTGGGTACTTTTCATGACCTTTGAAGATTTTTATTCAGCAGCTGAGGTCTTAAAGGTCTAATTATTTTATAACCAGTATCAGAATATAAAGGTAATTAAAACATTGTCCTTTGGTTGGTTAGTTGGTTTTGGTTTTTAAAGACAGACTTTTTCTGTGTAGCCCTGACTGTCCTGGATCTTGCTCTGTAGGCCAGGCTGGCCTCAAACTCAAGATATTTACCTGTCTGCCTCCCGAGTGCTGAGGTTAAAGGTGTGCGCTACCACCTCCCAGTTCAAAATATTGTCATTTTCAGGGAACTACCTATTCAGTGAAGATTTTTTTGAAGAAGCACCAATACTTTAGATTAGTTTTGAGAGAATAATGAAAAGTCAATTAAGAAATGAGGAAAACTGTGGTCAGAGATGTATCATGACATTTTGGGGGAAATGGCTAGAAGTTTGATTTAGCTGTGTTGATTGGGTGTAGGAGCATGAGATGATCCTTGAAATAATTGGAGTGAGTAAGATTTAAGTTGTGTATGTGCTAGAGATACTAGGCTCTTGAACAGTGGAGATGCTCTAGACTAGTAGTGATTTAAGTTAGTATGGAAGATAAAGATCAGCCAGGGATTTGGACATGAAGTCCAATTACATTGAGGCGGATCAGATTCTAGATATTTTTTCTGGACTGACTTAAGAGGTAGATGATAGACTAAAAAGGATAATCGAACAGTATGGATCGTAAGTTGTTGGAATGGTAGAGAAAAATGAAAACTGGGTTGTGGGTTTCTATATTACTAATTTCTTAGACCAAGCATCTTAATTGAATATGAAATACAAAACCAGGGGATAGGCAAGTTTCATATGGGAGCCACTGAAAACTTTATTTTATATTTAATTTAATAATTCTTATCCATGCCAAAGACTTGTACAAAATAATTTTTACCTAGTACTTTCTTATTTAATTTTTTTGAGACTGGGTCTCTATGTATCCCTGTCTGTCCTGGAACTCATTATGTAAACTAGGCTGGCCTCAAACTCCTGGCTCTGCTTCCTGAGTGCTGGGTTTCAAGGTGTATACCACCATGTCTGATAGTTATTTAATGTGTATGTGCTGCATGCATACAGTGCCTCAGGGAGCCAGAAGAGGACATCATATCCCCTAGACCTGGAGTTGACAGGTGTTGTGAGCCACACCTATGCCCCCACTTGGGTGCTAGGTACTAATCCCATGTCCAGCATCTATCTCCTCTTATAGTCCTCAAAAGACCATTACTTCAGTTATTTGTACAGCTGAATTTATACAGCTGCTCTTCTCTTACATTGACTCCCAGCAATACAATTGTCTTATACAGTTTACACTGTCTTCGAAATAGACTTGAGTTTATATTACTATTGTTTTGTTCAAAGATTGGGGCAGTGTAGTAACATGAAGTGTTTTAAGTGTTTTCAGTTCTCTAATAGAGTGAATGCCATTTTCAAAATAGGTAGTCTCCTGTCTCCTGGAGGGCAGGAATAAGATGGTAGTATGCGCCTTTTATCCCAGCACTCAGGAGGCAGAAGCAGAATGATCTCTTTGAGACAGCTTGATCTACAGAGTCAGTTCCAGGACGGGCAAGGCCACACAGAGAAACCCTGTCTCAAAAAAAAAAAAAAAAAAAAAAAAAAAAATTAAGATAAAAGAATGGCTATTAAATTTAGCACTTACTGATAACATACCATTTATTCTTACCACCAATATCTTAGTTTATAACATGGAATGCTTACCTAACTGTAAAACTAAAGGTTTTCCACCTTTGGTATTCTAGTATGTCTTTATTTCAGTTCTTCTGTTAGAATTGTCAAGTAGAATAGCACATCATATACCCAAGTCAAAGTTTGTTTTGTTTTTAATTTTAAAAAGTAGTTCACAAATTCATGGGGGGAAAAATCCCATGAACTTTAAGTTAGAAAAGACCGGGAATTTGAGCAATTCTCTTTTATACAGAAGGGTCAGATATTATATTTATTCTTAATAATGACAGAATTTTTAAGACCTAGAAAAATAGTTTGGTTTTTTTTTTATTATTATTAAGACTCAGTAGTTTGTAGCCAGCTCAAATAATTTAACCCTCTTGATTTCTTTTCTTCTCCAGCACTGGTGCTGTAAGTGCTCGTAACATTATGCTTTTGAAAAAGAAACAAGCTCGCTGTCAAGGAGTAGTTTGTGCCATGAAGGTAATTGATAATAAACTTGAAAGTTTTAGGTTTGTTGTTGTTTTTGAACTTTTAAGCTTTGTCCTACAAACCAGAACCACTTGATTTTCCTGCCTTCTGCTTTAAGACTATTTCCTCATTAACTTAAACTGAGTTTCATTAATCCCTTGATTGCTAATTCTGTAAGTCTTGGTAAAGGTAGGCTTTACCAAGTTGTACTGTTTGGACTATAGTATAATTTTAAGATAAAGCTTACTGATTTTTTAAGTTGTATATTGATTGGTAATTAATGTTCTTGTGTTTGGGGGTACTTTTTTTTGCTTTAGGAGGCGTTTGGCTTTATTGAAAGAGGTGATGTTGTAAAAGAGATATTCTTTCACTATAGTGAATTTAAGGGTGACCTAGAAACCTTACAGCCTGGAGATGATGTGGAATTCACAATCAAGGACAGAAATGTAAGATGGTTTATTCACTAACTTGATCATTGGCCTTTTAATGTTAATAGTGGATTGTATAATTAGGAACACTTAAAATTATGTGACCCCCTGCCCATTCCAACCTCTTGATTTAGGGTAAAGAAGTTGCAACAGATGTCAGACTATTGCCTCAAGGAACAGTCATTTTTGAAGATATTAGCATTGAACATTTTGAAGGAACTGTAACCAAAGTTATCCCAAAAGTACCTAGTAAAAACCAGGTGAGTTGCCTTTATTGGAAGATTCTTCTTTTGACTAGTGAGTAGTACAGTATTATTGGGGGGGGGTAGCGGGGGTACACTAAAATTGTAGTCTGCTTGATAAATTGTGTATAGTGGAAGTATTAAAAAAACAAAAAACTAAATTCTAAGGGTATGTCTCTGGCAGAGGGCTGTCTTAGCCTGCACAGGGTCCCTGTACTGCAGAAAGAAACGGCAAACTAATGATTGGCATGTTGATGGGTTTGTTTTTACTTACTGAGTGATTGAGAAAAGACCAAAAGAGATGTTACCTACATTGGGAACTTTCCTTACTATATTGGACTGCATTTGCTTCTTTTGTTTTCCATTTGTTAATTTGTAGGGAGGTAGAGTGAAAGGTGTCATTGATGGGTAAAATGTGGGATATAAAAGGCTAAAGATGCTTTTCCTTAACATTTCTTGGTATCATAATGCAGTCTTAACTGCAGTGCTTGATTTTTATGGTTGTCATGGGACCTTAGATCATGAAGCTTTCATATTGGGCTTTATATTGTCAGCACTTATTTTTTCCTTTCAGGGTACTATAATATAAGCTATTTACCATGTGTTCTTCTTGTTTGACTTAGAGCTAAAAAGGATGAGAAATCTCCAGCTAAAATCGTTTTTCCTTCTCATCAGAATGACCCATTGCCAGGACGAATCAAAGTTGACTTTGTGATTCTTAAAGTAGTTCTCTTTGGAGACAAAGACACAAAATCTAAAGTGACCCTGCTGGAAGGTGACCATGTTAGGTTTAATATTTCAACAGACCGACGTGACAAATTAGAACGAGCAACCAACATAGAGGTTCTATCAAATACATTTCAGTTCACTAATGAAGCCAGAGAAATGGTAAGTGTTTAGTATTATTGGATTTTTATCTAACATGTAGGGTTCAGTGATGGATTTTGATTTGTACTATTAAGTGACAACTTCTTAGACTGATGATCTAGTAAATAAAGGTGCTTGCTTCCACGTGTGTCAGCCTGAGTTCAAGATCCAGTATGTACATGATGAAAGGAGAGAGCCAACTCCTACAAGTTGTTAGAGGAACTAGTGTGAGCTAATGTGACTCTCTTTACACTGTTAAATAGCTAGGAACCATGCATATTGAATTAGTCTGGGCATCTTTCTTATTCTCTCAGTTATCTTAGAAATTATATATATATATATATTAGTTTAGATTGGAAATCTGGATGATTGCTAATGTAATGTTAATAAGACTTCAAGAAGTATATTTTCTTAAGATTTACTCTGTGATGTTTAGTACACACTAGGTTAAACAATGCTAAATAGGCCTCACTTCTCTTATAATGCTTTGCATATTATTTTTAATGAGTATGTCTAGGTATGGTGTGTGCCTGACATGTTACCCAAATATGTCTTTAATCCCGGCATGTGGGAGTGAAGTGGATCTCTTGAGTTCGAGTCCAGCCTGGTCTACAGAGCGAGATCCAGGACAGGCACCAAAAACTACACAGAGAAACCCTGTCTCAAAAAAAACTGAACAAGGGCCTGGCAGTGGCGCAGCCGCGGGGTCTTGGCTCAGTCCGCGACACAGCGGGGCCAGCAGGGCTGCTTCTACTGCCTCCAGGATTGATAGTCCGCCTGGTTCTGCCCGTACCCCACTCCGAGGCCTCGGCCATGCTGTTCAGGGGCCAGGTGAGGCGAGCTCTGCAGCAGGTGCCCGGGAAGCAGCGATTTCGGCATCTACAGGTTCCTGCCCTTCTTTTTTGTCCTGGGAGGAACAATAGAGTGGATCATGATTAAAGTGCACGTGGGCCAGAAGACCTTCTCTGATACTTCAGAAAGACAGTATCAGAGAAGGCTGGAAGATACATCAGAGACCGAGCTTCACAAGTTAATAAAGTAAACATGAATTTTCAAAAAAACAAACAAACAAACAAACAAAAACAAAAAGAACATTCTGTGGACTGACTTTTCTCAGATACAGTTTGTATTTAGTGTTTGGGGTCATACCATCAGTAGCATGTCTCAGTGTTGTCAGCAAAACATTTTTCTAAGTTCCTTGATGTTTTTTGAGACAGGATTTCTCTATAGTCTTGAACTCTGTAGATCAGGTGGGTCTTAAACTCACGTAGATCCAATGTCTTTCCAGTGCTGGGATTAAACGTCTATCACCACAGTGCTGGCCCTTGACTCTCATTTATGTATGCCTGCAGGCCAGAAGAAGACACCAGATCTCATTACAGATGGTTGTGAGCCACCATGTGGTTGCTAGGAATTTTACTCAGGACCTTTCCAGAGCAGCCTGTGCTTTTAACCTCTGAGCCATTTCTGCAGCCCTCCTCCTCCTTTTTTTTTTATTTATTTAATGTGTATGAGAATTTTCCTTGCATGTATGTGTGTATTGTGTGTGTTTGGTGCCCACAGAGGCCAGAAAAGGGCATCAGATTTTCTGGAGTTAGAGTTTAAGGTGGTTGCAAGCCGCCTTGCGGTGCCTGAGACCAAACCTGAGTCCTACAAGATCGATAAACCATCTTTCCAAATTCAAGTTTCTCAGGCAGAGTCTCTTTTTTTATACTCTATGGTATAAAGTATATATATCCTGGTTATCATCAGGAGTTTGACAAGGATTAAATGTCAAAATATTCAGATCATTTTCAAAACTAATAGTTATCTATCTCTGCAGTAAATACTCAATGTACAATTAATTGACAAATGGATAGAAATTGGTGTTATTTTAGTAAAACATTAGTGCTTTGCATGTTCCAAGTTTTGTGGATATAGTGATCCCCAAAGCCTGCATTTTCATATAGGGTGAAAGAAAATATAAGGAAGAAACAAAATACTACATTTTATTCTTTACATCTTAAGTAAGTTCTTTCTGTGCCCAAATTCATAAAAGATTAGTAGTGAATGAAGTATTGCTTTTGTCATTTATTCATGAGGTATATCAGTAAATATTTGAAATTCTTATGTTACATTTTCATTTGGCTTTTTATGAGATATGGTAGGTATATGTATATATGGTTATATTCATAAGACTTTTATAATGTACATTTGCCACAGAGTGGCACTTGGAAATTCTCACAATTACTGGGGTTTAAATACTTTTTTGAAAGTTGGTTGGGCTCCACTGTGTAGATGGGCAGCCCATATTTGACATGGAGTATATAAGAAGATAGTATTTTTAAGAAAAAATATGTTGAAATTAGTTTGTACATAAATGAAAAAAATCCTAAACTGTTATAATATTCAGATTGGTGTTTTAAAGGAATAACTTGATAGTGATTCTGAACTTCTGTTTTTGACAAACTGTTCAACCAGTACTTTACTTGGATTTCAGGGTGTGATTGCTGCCATGAGAGATGGTTTTGGTTTCATCAAGTGTGTGGATCGTGATGCTCGTATGTTCTTCCACTTCAGTGAAATTCTGGATGGGAACCAGCTTCACATTGCAGATGAAGTAGAGTTTACCGTGGTTCCTGTGAGTAGTTGTTGGGAAAAGTGTTGAGGGGTGGTTTTCTTCTGTTTTCTTTGTAATTTTAAATTAAAGTTGTTTTTTTTTAATTTTTTTATTTGTAGGATATGCTCTCTGCCCAAAGAAATCATGCTATTAGGATTAAAAAACTTCCCAAGGGCACGGTTTCATTCCATTCCCATTCAGATCATCGTTTTCTGGGCACTGTAGAAAAAGAAGCCACTTTTTCCAATCCTAAAACCACAAGCCCAAATAAAGGCAAAGACAAGGCAAGTGTTATGTGATCCAATTGGTTTATATGTCTTTTATTTTTGCTTACAAAACAGATTCAATGCAGTCCACATAATAAACCATTGTCTCCTTTTTTAAATTCTCTATACACCAGCCTTGATGGTACTGGCCTGTGAGTCTAACACAGTAAGGTGGAAGCTAGAATATCAGTTCAGTCAATCTCAGCTATGTAGAGCAAGCATTCAGACAAGCTTGGTTTTTACAGTATTTGTAATATTAATATTTCTTAGCTTCGGCATCTTGGGCATTTTGCAAGTGGGATGTTTTAGCAGTGTTCTTGCTTCTTCCCAATATGCCAGACAAAAATGTCCATAGGAATTGCAAAGAAACTGTGGGAGGCAAAACCACCTCATTTAAGAACCACTCATCAAGCCGGGGCGGTGGTGGTGCACACCTTTAATTGCAGCACTTTTGGAGGCAGAGGCAGGTGGATCTCTGAATTCGAGGCCAGCCTGGTCTACAAAGCAAGTAAACCCTGTCTCAAAATCAAAATGAAAACAAAGAGCCACCCCTTAAAAGCCCTTACTTCTAAAGTGATTAAAGTTTTCCAAATTGGATATATGTCATTCATGTATTTCCAATCAATTTATTAACAAGTTCATTGACTAGTTCTGCTCTCACAAATATATTAAGTTGTGGGAAATGATTCTTACAGGATATGAAGTTTTCTCTAGTCTCACAGGTGTTGGGGTTGCTAATAAGCAGTATAATGTTTGCCATAAGGACCGAATTAAATTCCCAGCAACCTCCCTCCTCCCATACACACAAAAGCAAGTTTGTGAGAGTACTCTGGCAAGTAAATAACTGGGAAGGTCTGGAATGGTTCTGTTAATATGTTGGCATTTAATACGTAGAGATGGAAAAGGGCATTTCTGACAGAAAAGAGGTATAGAAAAGGGAAAGGGGACAGGGAGGATATCTTTAGAAAGCAGCAAGTAACTCATTTGAAGAAGGTGGATTTTGGTTTTGGTTGAGGGAGAAGAGCATTGATGATTGCTGAGTTCAGTGATGAACTTGGACTTTGTTGTATACTTAAAGATTGTCAGTTGGTGAATGGCATCAGGCATGTACTTAAGGAACATAATGCTATTGGTGTAACACTAAATGGGGTAGTCAGTTATAAGGTACATGAGAGTTACTAGAAAACAAATCATTTTAAAATAACTACCATTTGGGGCCATTGTACTGGTTTGGTACTGCGGTTTATTTAACCTTAAGACTTTGAGGTAACTGGGGAGATAATTTGGCTAATATAAATTGCCTGTCTGGTAAATTGCTCATGTTTAATAAATTAATGTATAAATAATCATAATGTGAATTGCAGAAGAACACAAGTGAACTGGCTTTGATTATGTAATAGCAGTGATGTGTGGAGTGTAGGGAAGAAGACATTAGTGATATGGACATTATTTCTATAGAAATGATGTTAAACTACAAAAATTGTGTACAGGTTGTATATAAAATACGTGTGTGTGTGTGAAAATTATTGTTATGGAAATACTAGTATGTCATCTATAAAGTGCTTTGATTTATGCTAGATTTTTAAACCAAGTTTTAATTCCTTTCACAATGATACTAATGGCCAAACACTGAATTGCTGTGAGACAATAAAGAGGATACATCAGCTGCTACTTAGAAATATTAGTGTCTTCTTTATGAGAAGGCTAAGCTTCTTGCTGCAAAAATTTTTTCTTGGCTGGAAATGGACATACCTGGCTTAATTTCTGATAAAACTGAAAAGGCTCAGTGATAGTAGATTGAGGCAGTTCTGAGTGAAGGCAGGCATATCTTTTATTCATGTGTTTTATCTTATATTAGAGAGTCCTGGAATAAATTGCTGTGGCTCTGCCTCTTTTTGTTATGGATTTCTTCTAAGTTCTGTAGTTAATTCTTTTTTATAATTTGTTAGTGTTCTTGATATATATTTGTATTTTATATTTTTTTAGGAGGCAGAAGATGGCATTATTGCCTATGATGACTGTGGGGTGAAACTGACTATTGCTTTTCAAGCCAAGGATGTGGAAGGATCTACTTCTCCTCAAATAGGAGATAAGGCAAGATAATTCTTATTTGAAGAAAAGTTCATGGTTATCTCAGTCATAAACCCTGATGGATGCTTTAAATTTTGTTAAGTTTGGTTGAAGTTTTTTTTTGCACGTGAAAGGTTAACTATGTAATTAAAATGGGGTCTTGTGAGCTTCTAAAACATACTGAATACTAGGTTTTTTAAGCATGAGCTGTTTTAGAGAGAGATGGATTACACCTGTAACTCTAGCACTCAGTTGGCAAGGTGCACAACCATTAGATACAATTAAACTTATCTACAAGAAAGCTTAAACTACTTACCGAAATAGAGCCCAGTATGAAAGTATGCCAAAGATTTATGTTACCTTTTTCAGGCAGCCTTCTTTAGAGAGATTAAGACTACAAAGAATACACATTGAGGGGTAAAACGTAATCCTTTTTGAACAATGAGTTGAGACATCAAGTGTTTTTCTGGAAATTATTCTAGTAAAGTAATTGCAAAAGAGATCTGGAGTAAAAAGTGTGGTGTGGGTGTGTTTCAGGTATGGTTTTTAGTTATAGAACTTGACGTGGAAGTGACAATGATACTAATGATCATCCTTATTTTTTTGTAGGTTGAATTTAGTATTAGTGACAAACAGAGGCCTGGACAGCAGATTGCAACTTGTGTGAGACTTTTAGGTCGTAATTCTAACTCTAAAAGGCTCTTGGGTTATGTGGCAACTCTGAAAGATAATTTTGGATTTATTGAAACAGCTAATCATGATAAGGAAATATTTTTCCATTATAGGTAAGGAATGCCATTTGGGCAGCACACTATTTATATTCTTTTGCATCGGAGTTTCAGAAAATTTAATCAGTTGATACTTTTTGATAATTATAGTTTTTGAGACCCAGTTTTGCTATTTGTAATTATGGCAATATGTATACAGAAGTTAGACATCTGCCAAAAACATGGGATGCACTTACCTGCCTTTTCATGTTTCTTCCTCAATAAAAGAATGCTGTTTTGTTGTAAATATTGGCACCATAGTGATGTTGATTTGGTATACACAGTTATAGCATATAGTGTAAAGTGTTTTGATTCAGGTTCTGTCATTTAAATAAGTTACTTCCATTAATTGAATTAACTTCTTTCTTTTCATCTTGGAGCTAGAGATACAAGGTACCTCATTTATAGGTTTTAAAAAATCTGTTTAAGGATTTAATGAGTCATTACCTTAAAACAGTGTCCAGTGTACACAGAGTTGTCATGAATGTTAGGAAGAGTTAAAGGCTACTTATTCCTATTACTGTTAGTAGTAATGGCTTCCTTTAATGTCACTTTATTTTCCTTTCCCTTCAGTGAGTTCTCTGGTGATGTTGATAGCCTGGAACTGGGAGATATGGTTGAATACAGCTTGTCCAAAGGCAAAGGCAATAAAGTCAGTGCTGAGAAAGTAAACAAAACTCACTCAGGTAATGAATTGTGACTCCTAGTCATCTTGTGCTTTGATTGGAAGATAGTAGATAGGGTGGAAGAGGAGGATAAGGTTCTATAACATTCACTCTCAGGTGCCCCGATCAGCAGTACACCTTGGCTGTTTGTCAGAGATCCATTTCTTACTCCTACCTTGGGTTTCTGAAATTCTGGATATGACAATTTGTTTTAGCAAGTCTTCCTGATTTGGGTAACAATTAAGAGGTAGCATTTTGAATTTGGGCGCTGTGAGAGTTTAAAACAGGGTCTCACTCTGTAACCTTGGCTGCACTGGAACTGCCTGTGTTGATCAGGCTGGCTCAAACTCAGAGAACCTCTGGCTTTACCTCCTTAGTGTATGTGCCACCATGCCTGCCTCACATCTGATTTTGGAGTGGGATGGGGAATTACGCATTTCTAATAATTTTTAGGAATTGTATTCAGTGTTTGTTTTTTTTAAAGCACCCTTGTGCTTTTTTTTTTTTTTTTTAATCCCAGAAATAGATTATATAAATATATCTATATAGATACATTTTAATGCTGTTAGGGAAGTAGGCATACTCCTGATAGACTACTTTGGAGAACCATAGGTCTAAATGTAAACAATGAAGGCAATCTTAGTTGTTTAGAGTCTCTGGTTTTGGGTGAGTGGGCTTCTGTTTTGGAGGTGGAGCCCAGGATCTAGCACTTAATAAGTGCATCTCTGGCATCTGTTTTTATACAGCCTGCAACTCTGTTTTGGCTTCTTCGTCTAAATTCCCCAAATAGTACTCTACCTTGAAACTTAGAGATAGGGTAGCTAAGACCACCAATTTTGATTCCACAGGTACCTAAGTACACAATGTGTTTGATGCACTAGAGATACAGTTGTGAGGAAACCAGACGGGTCCTAGTCTTTTATGTTTATTTTTTGTGGGGTAGAAAAAAATAGAAATGATAAGAACAAAAATATTTGTTGGCTATTTATGGTTAAGTAATTATTAAAGAAACAGAACTGGCTTCAGATTCCCTGTCTTAATTTTAGAATATCAGGCAGCCAGCTAGTTGAGGGTGGCTCACATCTATAATCTCAACAACCGGGTGAGTTCTAAGTCAGCCTGAACTACATAGTAAGATCATTGTGTGCGCGCGCTCTGTCAGGGGAAGGAGGAAAATGGGATGGAGAGATGATTCACTGGTTGAAAACTGTATGCATAATAATGTATGTTCCTTCAGAGGACCTAAATTCTAGGCCCTACCTCAGGTAGCTCACAGTTCTCTATAAACCAGCTCCAGAAGATCTGATACCCTTATTGCATCAGGTACTACAGTCATTGCAGAGTAATAAAAATTAAAATCCCTAACAAAAAGCATTCACCTTGTATGTACATTGGGCTTATATTTTTCACTATCCATCAGAGTTTAAAATTGCTGAGTGAAAATTATATGTGCATTTGTTTTGTAGTGAATGGCATTACTGAGGAAGCTAATCCTACCATCTACTCTGGTAAAGTCATTCGTCCTCTGAGAGGTGTTGATCCAACACAGATTGAGTACCAAGGAATGATTGAGATTGTGGAGGAGGGTAAGCACATCCCTGACACACAGTGAAATCTGCCATACCTTCTGATGAGCACTTAACAAGGTTTTAATATATGATGGGGTTCATTGCATTTGTTTTCAGATTTTTTTTGGAAGCTGAGTTTAAAAGAACTCCTTTCTTCCCGTGCTGAATTTTATTTTTATACTCCTTGAAAATAAGGTCAACCTGGACCTTATTGTGAACAAATGACTGCTGGACCTTATTGTGAACAAATGACTGCTACGCTGAATGTTTAATGGTGAATGATGATAATCAGTTGTTTTTAATTTATTAGTCATTATGTTAGTAACTAGTTTATGAGCTTCCTGAAGTACTGTTCCTTAACAACCAGGGATCCTCCAGGTGTTGGCTCTCTCTCCATTTTTTCCTTTTTTTTTTTTTTTTTTTTTTTTTTTTTGGTTTTTGAGGCAGTGTTTCTCTGTGTAGCTTTGCACCTTTCCTGGATCTCTCGCTGTAGACCAGGCTGGCCTCGAACTCAGAGATCTGTCTGCCTCTGCCTCCCGAATGCTGGGATTAAAGGCGGCGGCCGCCGCCGCCGCCGCCGCCGCCGCCACCACCCCCTGGCCATTTTTTACTTCTATAATATTCTCTCCCACTTCAAGCATTCAGTTTTGGTACTTATTTTTTTTCCCCAATAGCCACCACACAGAAAGTCTGACTTTATTTGAAAAGTGTGCATCAAATAATTGTAATAGGTAAGGAATGCTGAATAATTAGGATAACAGGGTTAAGTTGAAACATTTCACTCAAATGATGATGTCTCAAATAGAAGAAATCTTTGTATCATCTGTAAGTCAGAAAGAATATAAAATAGAGAATAGTTCATTTGTAGAAAAAAAAAGGACCTTGATAGCCAGTGCTTTATCACATGAGGTTCTTAGAATTTTTGTTTTACATGAAATACCACTGTTGCATTTCCCCTCCCTCATCATAACCCTCCAAATAGGAATTGACTTTGTGATCCAAGTAATGCTCTGCCTGACAGATCGATATGTGGACTACTAACTTTATCAGTTGTCTTGGGGTAGAGGGGGCATTTGAGACAGGTTTCTCTGCCTGACAGTCCTAGCTGTCCTGGAACTCCCTTTGTAGACCAGGCTGGCCTTGAACTCTCAGAGATCTGCATGCCTCTGCCTCCCAGGTGCCAGGATTAAAGGCATGTGCCACCACCACCCAGCTTTTTTAATGTGGTACTTTGAAATTAAATATTCAGTTTCTTCAACTTTAAAAAGACATCTTTAGCCTTGGGAGAGTCTATGAAAATTGTGAATCATAGAAATGCTGAGTCAATAAGCAGGTCTGTTATTTTCTATCTCTTGCATTGGTCTCTAGGTCACTTTTTATTGTTACAGTGCAGGACGGGGTAGAGGGGTTGGAGCAGATGAGAAGAGAACCTCTAAGAGAACAGAGCATGGATCATAGTAATTCTGAATGTCAGATTTTTGCATTGGTTCACCTGTCTTGTTACTTTGCTACGTGGTCTGTATTTTTGCTCTGGCTCATAATGCATTTTACAAGTTAGTCACTTGAGCTATTAAGGTTTGTTTTTGTTTTGTCATCTGCTTCCATGTTAATCTTTAACATTTAAGATTCCTGTTAAGTTTTAACTCAAAACGTTTTATGTTTAAAATAATTATAAGGTAACAATGCATTTTTAGTGTGTATATTTAGACTTTGTGCCACTTTGTTTACAGGGGATATGAAAGGTGAAGTGTATCCATTTGGCATAGTTGGGATGGCCAACAAAGGGGATTGCCTACAGAAAGGGGAGAGTGTCAAGTTCCAGTTGTGTGTCCTTGGCCAAAATGCACAAACTATGGCCTACAACATCACACCCCTTCGTAGGGCCACTGTGGAATGTGTGAAAGATCAGGTAATTAAGTACTATGTCTCTGGATCTGCATCTGTCCTATGATATGTTGATAAGGAAGTGTCATCAGCCAATATCTATGTAATTTCGGCCCACTATGTAGCTTTGGCTGGCCTGGAACTCAGATCTACCTACCTCACCCTCTTCGGTATTGAGATTTGAAACTGCCATGCCTGACTCATGAAGTTTCTATTTAGACTTTATTGCTTTGGAGGACAACAAGGGGCTGGGGGAGTGACAACATTAGCAAGGAGAAAATAAGAGTTATTATTAGTAATTACTGTCACTCAGTGGAGACTTAGTCATGCTTATAAGAAGATGAATGGCAGTCATTTCCAGGTGTTCCTTTCCTCATGAATTCTATCATACACCCAGCTGAATTTGGTCCATCAGTATTAATGGCATGTTCTATAAGTCCTTTCTACTTCAAGTTAACATTCTCCTTCAAAATGAAGTGTGCTTTTCCTTTCTGTAGTGTGTCTTCTCCATGTCAATTTTGTGTTTGTTTTCTTTTTCTAGTTTGGCTTTATTAACTATGAAGTAGGAGATAGCAAGAAACTCTTTTTCCATGTGAAAGAAGTTCAGGATGGCATTGAGCTGCAGGCAGGAGATGAGGTGGAGTTCTCAGTGATTCTCAATCAGCGCACTGGGAAATGCAGTGCCTGTAACGTTTGGCGAGTCTGGTGAGTTTCTGTGGATTGATTGTGGTTGGGTTAGTGACTGTCCTGAGCTCATTCCCGTAGTTTGTGTGAGCTGTGCTTTGCCAGCCTTCTTTCCTTTCTACTCTGTTTGGGTTTATTAGGTACCACTTTCCACTTCTACCTCCATCTAGTTTTGTCTTTTACTCTTGGTTTGAGAAAGATCTCAACTTTATACTCATGACTGGCCTTGAGCTTGCTGACGTGTGGCATCTGCCATATCTTTTTCTATCTCTATAGTATTCATTGTCTGACCATGAATCTCATAAACCTGACCTGAGACACACTTGGGTACTGTGATGTGTTAGCACTGAATGTGCTGGTCTTCCATATTAAAAGGTTATATAATTCTTGTTCTTAAGAAATTCAGCTTATTAGCTTTTTTTTTTTTCTGTCAAGTCATTTCTAGGCCTTGTGCTGCTTAAATGTCTAATTTTTATACCTTAGTCATCATGACTCATGCTAATAGGATTTTTAGTCTCATCATTGTTCCCTTTAAAGTTAGGAGCCTAGAACTGTGTCTTCATATTAGACTTAAGGTTTTCTAAATGTTACTGTGTTTTATGTTATCTGTGGAATTAGTCTGTCTGTAGATGTGTCTAGGGTCTCACTGAAACGATTCTTCATAGCACCTACCGATAGGTTGCAACTGAGCTGGGAAAAGTATATATAACCAAACTTGTTTGTCTTGTCTTACTAGCTGTCTAAGTTGAGCCAAGAGTCCCCCTTATTAAAAGCGAGTCATTTGGGTAGGAAACTTACCCACTGATGCCTTATTCCAGCAGTCGTTAGTTTTTTCTCACTTTCACATTTACAGTGAAGGCCCCAAAGCTGTTGCAGCTCCTCGACCTGATCGATTGGTCAATCGCTTGAAGAATATCACCCTGGATGATGCCAGTGCTCCTCGTCTAATGGTTCTTCGTCAGCCAAGGGGACCAGATAACTCAATGG